CACCTGAGGGTCCATACCTGGCCTAGCAGACACACCTGAGGGTCCATACCTGGCCTAGCAGACACACCTGAGGGTCCATACCTGGCCTAGCGGACACACCTGAGGGTCCATACCTGGCCCAGCAGACACACCTGAGGGTCCATACCTGGCCCAGCAGACACACCTGAGGGTCCATACCTGGCCCAGCGGACACACCTGAGGGTCCATACCTGGCCCCGCAGACACAACTGAGAGCCCATACCTGGCCCTGCAGAAACACCTGAGGGCCCATACCTGGCCCTGCAGACACACCTCAGGGTCCATACCTGGCCCTGCAGACACACCTGAGGGTCCATACCTGGCCCCGCAGACACAACTGAGAGCCCATACGTGGCCCTGCAGAAACACCTCAGGGTCCATAACTGGCCCTGCAGACACACCTGCAGCTTCAGTCTCTAGCAGCAGTGGGAATGAGGCAGACACAGATCTAGTTCAGTTTTATTTTACTTTTGAAAAATTTGTGAAAATGCTAAAACGTAAAATCACATTAGTATTTATAATATATTTCCATAGTAATTGAATTTAAAATAACCAGGTTTAAAATAGTAACAAACTACAGTTACACATAATTTCTACGTTATATACGTTACAGCGGAACATTTATCTCATCTACCATAAAGACACAGAGAAACATGTTAATATTCAGTAGTAGGCTGTGATAAAGCGAATTTCGGGCTGTTTTAGGAGTCATTTTCCCAGCGGCTGGTTTATTTATTTATTTTAGTTCCTGATTGTTGAGAAATTCCCAGCGGTCCCTGAAGGGGCCGTGAGACAGCAGCGCTAATCGCCTTCCGCGGAAACAGCAGAGAAAAGGCTAGAGAAGACAAGATGGCGGAGTGAGTGGGCTGCGCTTCGTTTGGACGCTCGCGCTCTTAAAGTTAGCCGGAAAGCAGTGAGGGGACTGAAGAAGGACCGTCAATATCATCAGCACCGCCCGGAGCGTCGTCCTCAGCGCCCCGTGACCGAGACTCAGGACACTTTTCTGGGTTTTCGCTCCTCTCCACAGCGCTAGCTGGATGCTAAGCTAGGCCTGCTGACGCTAGCTTCTTGTTGAAGGCCTCCAGCTGGATTTACAGCCTCCGCTCCAGCCGCCATTTCTGCTCTAATCTCCCTGTCCTGCTATGACAGAGCGCTCATTCTGACAGTAGAAAAACCTTTGAGTGGAACAAACATCAGTAGATTTGGTTTTTCCAGCAACGCCATCGAATGTCCTGCCGATAAGCGGGCTGGGCGGACCAACGCAGATCTAACGCTCCTCGGTCGGTAGTTTGAGCCGGGATCATGGCGAGCAGCAGCGGCTCCAAAGCTGAGTTCATAGTCGGTGGGAAGTACAAGCTCGTCCGGAAGATTGGATCGGGATCTTTCGGCGACATTTACCTGGCGATCAACATCACAAACGGAGAGGTAAGCCTGGGTGGTTTAATCTGGACTGGATGGTTTAATCTGGGCTGGATGGTTTAATCTGGGCTGGATGGTTTAATCTGAGGCGGATTGAGGCTCAGCTCGGTGTTTTAACTGTTTTTCTGCTGCCTGGTTCTGATAACTGTGTGTCGTTCTCAGGAGGTAGCTGTTAAGCTAGAGTCGCAGAAAGCCAGACACCCACAGCTGCTCTATGAAAGCAAGCTCTACAAGATCCTCCAAGGAGGAGTCGGGATCCCTCACATCAGGTAAGAGCGTCTCTCTCCGGGAGCCAGAGAACCGGTCTGGATCCGGTTCTCCGGGGCGTTCAGGGGCCTGTTGTGTTGCCGGTGAAAGGCTTTGTTTAGCGGGGAGCGGCTGGCGGGGCCTCGGTAGGCCTCAGCCGGATCCAGGCCGCCTGGAAATGGCCGCTCCTCTTTTGTTGTGGTACTTCCCAACATGCCTGCTAGAAAATGGCGGCGGAGCTGCAGAGGCGGATGTTTTCCCTGAAGGGGCCCTGCTGCTCCCAACCTGAGGGGCCCTCTGGCTGTTGCTGTGTTTTCTGGCTCCTGTCTGGAACCATGAAGTGATCCGGCGGAGGGGGGGCTGCTAAGCTAACCCTTTCCACGGCTGTTTGTGTCCCCAGGTGGTACGGCCAGGAGAAGGACTACAATGTCCTAGTCATGGACCTGCTGGGACCCAGCTTGGAGGACCTGTTCAACTTCTGCTCCCGACGATTCACCATGAAAACCGTCCTGATGCTGGCAGATCAGGTAAGAAGATTACAGCAACGTCTGGAAACAAGCTCCTCGGTTTAAACATCAACGTTTGAAGCAGGAAAGAAAGCTGAAGGGACGGTCCTCATGGCCTCCTGCAGGTCAGAGGTCATGCAGGGCTGTAGACCAGTTAGAACTATGAACCACAGACTCCAGCAGTTTGTCTTTAAGCTAACAGGAAGTTCAGTTTTCTAAGTTTTTGGGACTTAGTGGATCAGCTGAATGTGCTTAATATGGCTGATAATCCAATCAGTAGGTGGCTTCAGGTGTGTGGGGCTGCGTAGGTGAAAGCGTCCCGCTTCAGCCCTCATCTCTGATTATGGCAGATTATAGCCTGGGCTTAGAGCCTGAACTGGGATTAGACGGCGATGGCGGGCCGTCCAGGCATCGCTCAGACGTCCGACCACCACTGCTAAGTATGGGGTAAAAACTGACCTGGCCCGGCAAAGCTGTGGGTTTGATTCCAGCTTCCTCTGCTCTGATAGGCTCTGATAGGTTCTGATCCAGCGGTGCCGTGACGGAACCAACGCCGCTCTGACAGCACCTGTGTTTTGTTCTTGTCTCTTCCAGATGATCAGCAGAATCGAGTACGTTCACACAAAGAACTTCATCCACAGAGACATCAAACCGGATAACTTTCTCATGGGCATCGGCCGTCACTGTAACAAGGTATGTTCCTGTGGACCAATGAAAGCAGGCGAGCGTCCCATTGACCTCCCTCAGTGTCTGTAAGCCAGCATGGTGTCATCATAACATAGCTGTAGAGGTCCTGCTTTCTGATTGGCCGACGCTTCCTCTGAGTTCAGGCCTGGAGATCAGGGAGTTTAGATCAGACAGGAAGACGCCGCTGCAGGCCCCACACACCTGGGTTAGAGCGACAGCAGCCTGCATGATGTCATCACGCCTCCTCTCCATCATGTTGATGGACGGCGTCATTTCAGCCGATTGAACCGTGTATAGATGCTTCAGGAGGAACTGGGCGCCATGTTGCAGCCATGTTCCTGTTTATAGCTGCTCTGGGATCAGCTGCGGTTAGAGCCACTGCGGCTCCTCTTCCTCCTCCTGATGTTTCTAGGAGCAGACAGAGGATCTTAGAAAGTCCTGCTGATGGTTTTAAAAGCGGCGTTTGGAGACGTGGAGAGGCGAGCGTGTTGAAGAGCCATGCTAGGTCAGCGCCTGGGGCCACAGTCTGCCTGTGGAAACACTGGACGCCCGTTCTGGGCGGGAGCAGACCTCTTTGCTCCATCATTTAGTCTCTTAAAGGGCCGGCTGCAGGTTTCACACCGCTCTGGTTTTCTAATTAGACTTCTAGTTATTTCATTTTGAGCCAGTTTGGACACGCCTCTCTAACATTACCCGCTCTTTGGGCTGTAGACGGCCTTATAGATCACAGCGGGGGCCTGGGCCGGCCCACGGGCCTCCAGTTTGACACTGGGCAGCCTGGAGTGATCATGTGTAACCTGCTTCTGATCATTTCAGGCCAGTCTGAAGCACACAGGTCTGATTCTTTCCAATGGGACCTACTGGGCTCTGTGGTCCTGATCTGACCCGTGTCTGAGCGGCCAGGTGGCATTCATCACACCTGGACGCCTTTAATACTCATTAGGGGATAATATGATGCTTCTGGTGGCCATGGTGGACAATGATGCAGGGAGAAGTTTTTTTTTTTTTTCAACCCTCAGATGGCGTTGTTGATGCTCTGGCTGAGGTTGGGACAGATCCAGCGCTGTCGGCCATGTTTACTCCCATACACACAGACAACGCTTTTGAAGTCATCTGGGCTGAAGCATTTAATCCGATGAATCGATTATTGAAATAATCATTAAATAATTCAGTAATCGATTAATGAGCCACTGGAGTATAGAGACTGAAACATGCCTTTAGCTGACAGAGCGACCCTTATAAGATTGGAAAATGAAATCTATAAACATTTTGGATTTAGGATAAACTCAAGTGGAGAAGTTTTAGTTTCATCTGGTATAATTCTGTAAAGTCTTCTTCATGGAACCTTTGGCTATCTGATTATTAATGATTAATGATAAAAAACGATCAACAGATTAAAAGATTCACTAACTACTGGTTAGATGCAGCCCTTCCTGCGGATCATCTGGTCAGAATAACGCCGCGTTAAACCTACAGCATCCTCATCAGAACTTTAGAGGAACCTGAGATCTAAACAAATCTGTTTTATTTGGGAACGGCCATCTGACCCGTTTCCATAGAAACCACAGCAGTAAATAATATTAGTTTACCAAACAAAGGGCAGATTGGACTGCAACATGCTGAGAGTCAGAGGAGGAGCCAGATTAGGATGGCCGATCCAGCTGAGATATTTGAGAACCTCTGCTGTAAAGAGTTATGGATTAATTAGAAACCATTAAATTCGCATTTAAATAAAGGATATTTATCCACCCAGCTCCTCCCCTGGTGGTGTTTAGATAGGATGGCAGCACAGGAGGCTACGAGCGCCGTCACGAAGGAGGCGCTTAGTGGCGCTTTCTACTAGCTTTGCCTCAGAGGCCAGATGGCGACTTCTCCTTCCAGCTACTGTCTGTAAAGTTGCAGCTAGGGATGCACGATGTTGAGATTTTGGCCGATATCCGATATGCCGATATTTTAAAACTCATGTTGCCGATAACCGATANGCCTCCAACACACAGCTTCACCTCCAGTAAAATGTGTCTTTTGTTTTGGTGATAAAGAAACGGATCAAACACTTCCAACCAAACTCTGGTGCGTTTCCACTGGGATTAGCAAATGTCAATCCAATCCTCCTCAGTTATTATCAGATTACCCCCCACCCCCTCCCACCTTTTCCTAACATAGTCTATATTGGGGGACTTTGCAGATAATAGGTTTATAATTTTTGGAGATGACACCCTTGTTAGATGTTTAATATTGGATCATTGAGGTCTGTTTCCTTTCTGATATGTTCAAATCAACTACGCACCCGCAGGAACCTAAAAAAATCAGTTCGGACCTTCAACCTATCAAAGCTTTTAAGCTGTTCTTTTTCTGTAAGAGAGAAGTATGTCGTTATTCCTTTCGAAATACACGATTTATTACATTAGCCCTAAAGTCAGGATTATAAGCACACCATTGGATTATTTGTAATCTGTCATTTAATTTATATTCATCTTTTATCATGTTCCAAATTTTTAACTGTGCTTGATCCATGGATTCTGGACCTTATCTATGAGTCCTCCCAGATGCTTGTGAGCTAGAACTGCTTGTATTGGGGGGTCAGTTTGAGTGTTAAGTGTTCTATATTTTTCCTTCTATCTTGGAAGGATGAGTTACACTGATTAATTAGGGGTCTAATCTGAGCGGTGCAAAAGTAATCTTTAAAACTAGGTAAGGACATTCCCCCTTTCTCTTTAGGGAGATGTAAAGTCTTGAGTCTAACCCTGGGTTTTTTACCCTGCCAAATAAACAGTGAAATTTTAGGCTGGAGATTGCCTTGGCTAGCTCTATCGCAGTAATAGGGGCTGCTCATATTTTGCTTTGTTCTGGCGTTATAGATGATAAATTGAGAGATTTTAAAACTTCATCAATTTGCTGATCATCTTCCAATTGGGGTTGTGTATACAGGTGCTTGTAGTATTTTCTAAAAGTTCTTTAAATTTCATGTTGTTTGAACTGTATAGTTTTAGAGTCCTTATCCCTTAGTTTGTATATTGCATTGTCTGTTTGTTGCTTTTGCAGTTTTCCTGCCTGGATTTTAAGTGATTTTGCTCCAGACTCATAAAAAGTTTTTTTAAGTGAATATCTTGTGAATATGTCTTGTGAATATCAGCTTATTTTCGATTTCCTGTGTATATATTAGATTTATCTCCTTTCTAAGTTTTTTTTATTTTTATTTAGTATTTCTGGGTTTTGTTCTTTTTTATGTTCTGTTTCAACATTTTTCGGTTCTTTATGAAGATCTATCATTCTTAATAGTTTTTGTTTCTTTTTATGGGCACAGAATGATATTATTCTCCCTTTCAAAACAGCTTTTAAAGTATCCCATACTTTAGCTGAATCAACCTCGGTTGTTAGGTGAACGGAGAAGCTGACTGCCACTCAGATTTCCTGCGGTACTTGAACGGGTCGTAGTGGAGAATAATCCCTTTCTCAGTGAGAAGCTCAAACGATCTCTTGGGGAAAGTGGATCCAAACCTCCTGTTTGAATTCCAGCTCAGTTTGAAGCTCAGTTGATCCTTCCAGGGAGAGAAGGTCCGAGAAACCCAGTTTGCAGGATGACTTCCTGCCGAGAGGCAAAGACAAAAACAAAGTTAAACTCAGGTTGACAAAAACTCTGTTTGACTCAGCAAAACTCAGCTTGGCTAGTAGAGTACCCTAAACTGGCAAAAACTCTGGCGTCGAGGTAGTGGCAGTCAGCAGCTTAAGAACACTCCGTTTAACGAGGAAACCATCAGCAGGTGTGTGAGGAGGCGAACCAGTACCAGGTGCCTCCTGGTGGATGAAGGGAGACAAACACAAAAACAGGAATCCTGACACTTGCGTTGTCATTTTCTTCAAGGAACCTTTTTATTTTCCTCTTTCATTTGGGTTTTGAATCTTGGATTATTTAGAATACCTGTATTTAACTTCCATTGAGTTCTACCCGGGTTATCAATGATGTCTACAGTGCAGGAGAGGGGGGGGCATGATCCGATAGATCAATGCTTCCAATATCACAACCATGAATTCATTGGCGATCTCTCTTCAATATAAAAAAGTAATCTATCCTGGAATAAACATCATGTGGGTGTGAATAAAAAGTATAGTCAAGGCCGGATGGGTAGAAGTCTCTCCACAAATCTAGAATATCAAGTTCTGTCATTAAGGCATTAATTTTCTTATGCAATGGCGTAGTAACTAGGCTTTTGGATGAATCCTGTTTTTGATTGAGACAGATATTAAAATCACCTCAACTGCTGTTTCCTTTATCATTAAGTCAAATATGTTTCTATAGAAAACAAAATCACTTCCAGGAGGGGCATAAACATTACAAATTGTTAGAACTACGTCATGCATTTTCCCTCAGGCTATTACATATCTCCCTTCCTTGTCAGAGATCTCTAGACCTGTTCAAACAGTATTTATTGTGAAATCAAGGTTGCTACACCGCTCCTGTGGCCTGATTTATAAGATGAGTAGTACACCCCTAAAAAACCCATCCTTCTAAGTTTTTCATGCTACGGAGGGGTGATGTGTGTCTCTTGTAATAGCACAATCTGTGCATTCACCCTTTTCTTTTTTGTTAATATCTGTCTCCTCTTAGGTAGATTTAATACCCCATTCACATTAAATGAAATTACTTTAAGTGTTTGCCTGTTCATTTTATATTACTGTGGTTTACACTTATCATTACACACCCAGAACTATCTCCTGGGAAACCTGGGCCTAGTATATTAGGTCAGAGTTCAGTCAGGTAAATAAAAAAGGGAAAATAAAAATGTGAAATCAAGGGTGACAGGTTCCGTTCATCTGATAAAGCAATAAAAGAAAAATAGAAGTATAGCCAGCGATCCGAATAGGTCCAGGCCAGGTGAAACCGATTTGTTATGGCGGATTTCTGCATGTGAAAAACCAGCAACAAGAAGAATAAGATAAACGTTTCAAATAAGATTTATCTGGTAATGCTAAGATATAATCCATCAGTTAGTGTCTTGGGGGGCCTG